ACGGACAAAAGCAGTCACACATACAGTAAGTACTCTTTCTCATTCCTTTTGCTTAAGTGGCTTTGCATTCTTTGGTAAAACTGCTACTTACTTTCCTATCAAAACTAGTCCTAAGTGCTGACACACGTCCCTGGTATAAATTCTATCAGCTGTGCCACAGGAAGCACTGAGGCTTTTCCCCCACCCCTTGCCCAACTTTGAAATTTCATCATTTTGCATACAGTACATGCTATTTTCCTGTAAGTGTGTAACATGCAATTCCACACAGTAAATAGAAAATCTATAATTAGTCATGCTAGATAGAAAGCAATAAACTGCCAGGCAGAGTACAATGACATTTTTTTTGGTCACCAAATTCAGCTTCTTTTTTTTACATTTCTAGATGCATCACCTTAATGTTTAGGACCTACTTTATAAAACTCATGCGAGAATTATTTTTAGAAATGGGTACTAAAGAGCCTCTAAAATTCACATCCCCCAATTACATTTCACAGCTTGAAAGCACTTTGCAAAGTGTAGCACAACCTATGACTGAGACCCAAATGAATGTCGCATTTCCTGGTGTGAAGAGCCAGATAGCTGCCTAAAGGCCCTGCTGTAGGTCTGGGCCACCTGCCACCTTCAACTTTTACCTATGAAATAATCTTCTTCTTCTACTTGCATTGTGACAAAGCTGGTAGAGAAAGTCACTATACGTGTTCTAAACTGTGTATGGAAACACTGTTCTTCAATTTTGATCTTGTCATTAGAGCCATTTGTTATTTAGTGGAGACCTGAAGTAAAGCATGTACCTAGTAGAGATGTACCTAGTTAAATTATTTGCAACCATAGTTTGCTTCGCACTTCCTTCAGTTGAGCATTGGGTTTTCTGATTTTCTGATGATCAATAAACTTGGATCATCTCTCATATATGCTCTTGTCCTCTGGCAGTTCAGACTCCTCTTCCAAGCTTGTCTAACCCCTTACCTTCAGCAAATCCCTTATCTTTCTTATTCTTCACCTTCTCTAAAACAAAGCAGACTTAATTCCATTTTCTCTATCTACATTCTCAATCACCTTGCTGAGTTCATGATGGAATAGACACATTAAAGTATTTCTAATTATGACAATTAGAATAAGAGTAATGACTAACATCTCTGCAGCTTTTATTATATGTTGTGCACACGTGTGTATGAATTAACATTTAATTATGTTAACAAATCTAAGATACACAAGTTCTGCCATGATACTCACTTTACAAACAGGAAACCAAAGCACAGAAAAGAAGCAACTGATACAAGTCACAAGACGTGCAAGTAAACAGTTCGAGTAACCTGTTATGAACTACTTATACCACAGGCATAGTGAGACTATGACAATAAAGCTGATAGGGACGGCAAGGGATGGTATCTTACAAACACATGATATCACAGGAAAATAAAACGGCTGCGATTTTGTAGACAAGGCACCTGAGGTCCCCCACGCCTTCATAGCTTGTCTGTTGTTAAGGGCTACACAGCTACTAGGAACCTGAGATCTGGACTCAACAGTCACATCTTCATTTTAGCACTAACATATAAACATATATTTTATTGGGAAAAAATATTCTTGGACAATTATAACAATACATGTTTAGAAATGAATGTGTCGCCTTGCCTTCCAAAAACGTCCAGATTCCAGTAACTGAATCTCAGAGTTATCAAGACTTCTACATAAAATTGTATAGCTCTCCAGGAATGGGATAACGGGGCATCTACCGTATCTACATTTGGAGACGCCCATGTGAACTGTCTATGTTTTCTTGTTAATCTATACAAAAAGTAAAAGAACCCTGTTGAACTCATATAACCAAGAATGAATTTTTCGTACATGTTCATTCACTTCATTCCATTTTCTACAGTGGAACTGATATCCAAAAATCAAATAGAAAAAGCATGGAGAAGGAAACAATAGCCTACCAGATGAATAAGGGAAAGAGCGCCCTGCCCCATAGGCTGACGGTGTGCCAACCCCTCCGCAGCCTGTGGGCAGAAGACCGTGGCTTGACTCCAGGTGAGGGAATGGGTTGAATCTGGCTCTTCCACTCTGATCAGTGGGCAGCCTTGGGCCAAGTTACTTCATTTCTGTGACTCTCTCAAAAGCTTCTGACAACACAGCTGGCCCAGCTGCTCCTGCACGATCGAGTCCTGAGATCTAGGGCAACTGGCAGCCCCTAAGGCATTTGCAGAATGTGCCACCTTGCCTTCCAAGCCCCTGAAGATATGTTGGGGGTGGGGAGACTTTCAAGATTAGACTGTGCAAAGTGGCTACAGGACATATATCACAGAGATTTTCTGGACAAATAAGACCCTACCTAGCATTGAACCAAATGATTATCAAGAATCTTCCTAAGCAAAGACTTAACCAGTATGGCTGGTAGCCCACCAGGCCCAGACAAGTCCTGTCTATCTCACTGAGAATCTCAGCCCTCACAAAACTAGGCCCACCAAACTCCACCATCTACTCTTTATGGACACACACCAAAGTTGAGTACAAGGATGAAAACAGGCTATAACTTGAAAGCACTAGCAGCAGCACTTAACTAGCTAAAGTCTGAGTGGGCAGTTGTGGCTGGATTTCAAATGAACTCATAGCCCACAGGGCCCCCATTCAGCCCGAAGCACGCATGCTCCCCTGGCATGTTCCAACTGGTCTCACTTCCAACCAACCAGGATTGCTTTCTGCCTACTGCAAACTCAACGCATAAAAAGCTTGAGGCCACCTAAGAAAGATTACCTATCACTGAGGTTTAGAATTCTGTCCAAAATAGTCCACTACCAGGGCAAAGAACACCACTATACTTGTACAGCGACTTTCCAAAACTCTACAGATGATCTTATTTACATACTTCTATGTATATGGAATAAAATAGGATTCAGACAGAGGAGTTCTACTCTGAAGGTTAGTCTTATAACCCCTATATCCTTTTGTCTCCCCACTTAGGTAAGGAAACTGAGACCGAGGGCAGTATACCATGGCTTTAACCAGGGCGTTACTCAGATTTTAAACACAAGTACAACACTTCTTTCTGAAACCAGAAGCTATTGCTAAACCAAATTCATAGACATTGTTATGCATCCAAAAGAGTTTTCAGACACTAAAACCTACAGTAATAGAGTACTATCTAGATTTATAGTAAATATTTTAGATCAAAACTCCAACCAGCCACTGGTTGATGACACATTCTGGTACCCGCTGTACTGGTAGAACTCCCCAGACTCCAAAGGCATGAATCTGCCCACATGCCCAGAGCTTCATACGTGACCTGGAAGCTCATTAGCCTCAGGTACCCCCATCAGAAATGCCCTTTCAACATTTTTTCACATTTATTTTCATTTCAGATCATGACAAAAGGTTTCCAAGCAAATGTAGCAGCTGAATTGAACCTGGTTTTCGGGGAAAAAGAGAATTGGCTGGTTTCATCCAGCACTGATAAAGGTTCCTGGGACACAGACCATAAAATAGAGACGAAGTGGGACTGTTTGAAGTTTGAATATATTAGATCAATATTTTGCATGGGGAATCTTGGAGGACTTTAAAACATCTAAGCAGGAAGGCTCAGGACCATCACTGTCTGACCCCTTTCTGCTTCTCAGGGGTGCAGCTTAGCTGAAGGTTTGTCCACATCCACTGAGCAGGTTGGTGAGTGACAGAACCAGGACTTGTAATAAGAGGTTGAACACACGCAGATAGCAAACAGTCACAGGCCCAAGACTCACTCTTGGAGCAGGCACTGTGCACCCTCAGTTTTGACTGTGCCCAACTCCAGTACAAACTTCAGAATCAAATGCTGATGTCAAAGGTGTCAAGGATAATAAAAACAAAACAAAACACTCATTTTCCACACCTCTGCAAGACAGCTTCAGGGGTAAATCAAGAACTGGTATGGCTAATGTCACCGACCCTTAAATGATGTACACAGCTTCCTTTAGATAGACTACAGGGAGACAGAGAGATAGAAAGACAGAATACACACAGATAAGGAGGTAATTTTGCCCCTGATATTAGAAAGCTAACAATCCGAAACTTCCTTCACTAAAGGGCAAAGGAAAAAAAAAAAAAAATGGTAGCGATATTTGGAATAAACTGATAAAAGCAGGAAGGAGCCTGAGTCCACCGCAGTTGCCCTAGTTAACAAGGTTAGAGGTATCATACCCTCTGCGGGCTCAGACGTGGAATGTGTGACACTCTGGGCCCTGTCATTAGCAAACTCCTAGTCCACAAAAGCAAGTAGGCTGAGAACTGAACGCAGCGGCAGTCCGCGTCCCCACAGAGCCCTGCTCTGGCTGGAAAGACCCCAGAGGAGGGTGAGGGCTCGCAGAGCAGCTCGGAGCGTCAGAGAGCGCGCTTGAAGTTTCTGCAGGAGCGGAAAACTCCGCCGCGCACGCCTTTGAAAGCAAGTTTCCGGAACACCAGGGAAACCCTGGCGACCGCGCAGGTCTCTCGCTGGCCAAGCCCGCGACCCCGCCGCCCGCGCCCCGCCCGCGCTCACCTGCGATGTCCCAGAGCTGCAGGCGCACCACGGTGTCCGGGTCCCAGTGCAGCACCTTGAGCGCGAAGTCCACGCCGATGGTGGCCCGGTAGTGCGAGGAGAAGTTCTGGTGCACGTAGCGCTTAATGATGCTGGTCTTCCCCACGCCCAGGTCTCCGATCACCAGCAGCTTGTACAGGTGCTCCTTGTGCGGGGCCTGCATCCTGGGGCCGCCGGCCGAGCTGCGTGGCCGTGGCGGGGCGCGGGACAGAAGCCGAGCGAGGCGGCCGGAGCGGGGGCGGGGCGGGGCCGGGCTCCTCCCCATCCTCTCCGCGGGCTGCGGGGCGGAG